TGTTTCAGTAGTCAATATGACTTTAACAAAGACTTATGTTGAGAAATTTGACCGAAGTGCAAACTTCGGAATGTGACAATTAAATATAGAAGCTATCCTAATTCAAAATGGCTTAGATTTGGCACTGCAAGGAAAGGAGAAGAAGCCGGATAAAATGACGAACAAGGAGTTTGTCGTCATTGACAAAAAGACAAAAACGTGTATCATTTAAATCTCTCAAATGAGGCTTTGCGTGAAGTTGCTGCAGAAAGCTCAGCCAAAGACATATGGGAAAAACTAAAAACCCTGTATATGAAAAGAATAATAGAATATAGGCTTTACCTAAAACAAAAACTCTACACTTTTCGTATGGCTGAAGGTACCTCTATACTTACACATCTTGATACTTTTATTTTTCTTCTTATGAATTTAAGTAAGAGGATCAAGCTGTACTATTGCTTGTTTTCTTACCCGAGTCGTTTAAGCACATAAGAGATACTATGCTTTATGGAAAGGATAATATCTTTTATAAAGATATCAAATCTATTTTGAAATCAAAAGAATAAATAGATAGAGATATTACTGGGAACTAGTGGGAACCAAGGGGAAGGCTTGTTTGTAAGAGGTAGATCCAATAATAAAGATTCAAATAGTGAGAGACCTAAATCAAGGTCAAAAATCAGATACCGAAATGTCATGTGCAAATACTACCATAAGAAAGGTCACATTATTTATGAATGCTTTAAATTGAAAAACAAAGAAAAGCATACAAAAAAGAAAAATGAGCATAAAAATATTGAAACTACCGAAGCAAGTTTAGCTGTTGATGAGACTGAGGGAACTATTTTTTTTAGCAACTAATAATAGTTTTAAATCTAACAATGAGTGAATTTTAGATTCGGGTTGTTCTTATCATATGTGTCCCAATCGAAATTTGTTTATCACATATGAATCTGTTGAAGGTGGAATAGTCTTGATGGACAAAAATGACACCTGCAATGTTATTGGTAAAGGTATAGTCCGAATCAAAATGCACAATGGTGTGATGAGAACTCTCACCGATGTTAGATATGTTCCTGACTTAAAGAAAAATCTAATCTCTTTGGGCATTCTAGAATCTCTTAGGGGTAAGTACACAGGTGAAGATGGAGTTTTAAAAGTTCTCATAGTGCTCTTGTGATCTTGAAAGCACGCAAATCTGGTACGTTGTATACTCTATTGGGATCTATTGTTACAGGTGTTGTTGCAGTTTCAACATCAGATAAATCAAATTCTGACATCACCAAAGTGTGGCATATGCGATTGGGGCATATGAGTGAAAAAGATCTTTCCATCCTCAGCAAAAGAGGTCTCTTGTGTGGCCAAAGTACCGAAAATATGGAGTTCTGTAAACACTATGTGTTCGAGAAGCAGAAAAGAGTCAGCTTCAAATCTCCAGCAATTCATAAAAATAAAAGGTACTTTAGATTATATTCATTCAAATCTTTGGGATTCTTCACGTACCCCATCAAAAAGTGGTGCCGGGTGTATGTTAACTTTCATTAATTATTATTCAAGGAAAGTTTGGGTTTATTTCCTGAAAAATCAAAGTGATGTTTTCTTAGCTTCCAAACAATGGAAAGTTTTGATTGAGAAGCAATTAGGAAAACAGGTTAAGCGGCTTTGAACAGATAATGGCTTGGAATTTTGTAATGATGAATTCAACGAATTTTGCAAGAATGAAGGAATTGCTCGATAACGTACTGTGAGAATGACACCTCAATAAAATGGTGTGGAAGAAAAGATGAATAGAATTCTTTTGGAAAGGGCTCGTTACATGATTTCAAATGTTGGGTTGACAAACGCTTGTTGGGAAGAAACTATCTCTACCGCTTGTTATATTGTCAATCATGCTCCTTCTGCACCTTTGAACTTTAAGATTCCAGAGGAAATATGGTCAAATACTCCTGCTAATTATTGTGATTTAAAGATATTTAGTTGTCCTGCATACATGCATGTAAATGATGGAAAATTAGAGTCAATGGCTAAAAAGTGTATTTTCCCTGGTGGGGTGAAAGGATACCGACTATGGTATCCTGATCCTATGGCACCAAAATTTATAATTAGTAGATATGTAATCTTTGATGAATCCTCTATGTTATATTCTAGAAAAGAGTTCTATTTCTTGTAATACAAATAAAGGGAAGAGTATACAGAAGCAGGTGGAGGTTGAGATTCGCATTCTTTCTGAGCCGAGCTCATCAACTTTGGAGCAAAATATAGTTGAAACTCTTGAAGTTGAGAAGCTGAAATTCCTAAAGTTGAGACTCCTGAAGTTGAACCAGAAGAAAATGAGTATTTTATAGCCAAACATAGACCAAGAAGAGAAAGTAAACAACCATTAAGGTTAGGAGATTATGTTTCATTTGCTTTTTTAGTTGCACGGGAAACTGAAGAAATTGGAGAACCATCAAAATATTCAGAAGCAGTTTCTGGTGTTGATTCAACCAAGTAGCTAATTGCAATGAATGAAGAAATTGAGTCTCTCCACAAGAATGGTACTTGGTCTCTTGTGAAGCCGCCATCAGGAAAGAGAATTGTTGGTTCAATGGGTCTTCAAGAAAAAAGATGGCATTCCAGGGGTTGAAGATGCAAGGTATAAGGCACGATTAGTTGCGAAGGGCTATAATCAGGTACAAGGAGTTGATTTTAATGATATTTCCTCATTTGTTGTTAAACATAGCTCTATTTAGGGGTGTTCATTAAAACCCGAAAAACCGAACCAAATCGAAAACCAAACCAAACCGACCAAAAAATCGATACTTTATGGTTTGGTTTGGTTTTGGTTTTGAATTTTAAAACTCGATCAAATTTAGTTTGGTTTTGGTTTTAATCAGAAAAAAAACGAACCAAACCGACTATAGGAGTATCTATTTCTAATTTATTATTACACATATACATATGTATATTGTTATACAAAGTTTCAAAAAAATTATGGTAAATGTTAATAGTTTGCATTTAATATAGTTCTTTACTTTTACATTCTAGTTTGATTGGTAGTTTTCTTTTGTTTAGTGTAAGAATCCATTCTGTGTTAAACATAACATATTTTTAATTGAGTCCTTAAATTATTCATTATTATTTGATTCAATTATCATCAATATATTTTGGTAAATAATAGATTTCTCAAAGGGCAATTAATTTGATTGTGTTATATTGAAAATGTGGTCGCCGGAATATGTGTTTGGTAGTGTATGTCTTATACTTAAGAAAAAACCAACAAATAAAAAAAAAATCGAAGAACCGACATAAACTGAATCGAGAAAAACCGACTTAATTGGTTTGGTTTGGTTCTAATATTTGAAAAACCAACTTATTTGGTTTGGTTTCTTTTTAGGGAAAAACCGATCCAAACCGAACCATGAACACCCCTAGCTCTATTCGTGTCTTGCTTGCCTTAGTTTCCATGTATGATTTGGAATTAAAACGGCTTGATGTTAAGACAGCTTTCTTACATAGCGAACTTGAGGAACAAATATACATGCATCAACCTGAAGGATTTGAAATTGAAGGAAAAGAAGATCATGTTTGCTTGTTGAAGAAATCCTTGTACGGATTAAAACAGTCTCTAAGACAATGGTACAAAAGGTTTGATTCCTTTATGTTGGGTCATGGTTATTCGAGGAGCATGCATGATAGTTTTGTTTACTTTCAGAAGTTAAATGATGGTTCATTTGTATACCTATTATTATATGTTGATGGCATGCTCATTGCTGCTAAGGATTTGACAGAAATTCACAATTTGAAAAAGTCAACTGAAAAGTGAATTTGAGATGAAAGATTTAGGAGCAGCTAAGAAAATTCTTGGTATGGAGATCAAAAAGAGATCGAGGAACCAGCAGGCTATTCCTGACCCAGAAGAAGTACTTGGAGAAAGTCTTGAAGAGGTTTGACATGAAATATGCTAAACCAGTAAGTACCCCTCTTGCTGCTCATTTTAAGTCATTAGCTGCTCAATCACAAGAAGAAGAGGGGTATATGACACATGTACCTTATTCCAGTGCAGTCGGCAGTATTATGTATGCAATAGTGTGGACACACCTAGATATTTCGCAGACAGTAAGTATGGTGAGCCGATATATGGCTTGCCCTGTAAAGCACATTGGCAGGCTATAAAATGAATTATCAGATACTTACGAGGTGTACTTCAAACACATGTTTGGAGTTCGGGAAAAATACTAATACTTTGGTTGATTTTGTAAACTCAGATTATATAGGTGTTCTTTACAAAAGAAGATCACTAACATGCTATGTATTTTGCATTGGTGGTTGCGCTATTAGTTGGAAAGTTGCATTACAAAATGTAGTAGCTTTATCTACTACCGAAGCAGAATACATGGCGGTGACCGAGGCTATCAAAGAAGCCTTATAGTTGAAGGGTCTCTTTGCTGAACTCAGTTTACACCAAGGTGGTATTATCATTTTTTGTGATAGTCAAAGTGTCATTCACTTGACTAAAGACCAGATGTATCATGAGAGCATGAAGCATATTGATATCAAGTACCATTTTATTCGGGAAACCATTGCTGATGGAAAAGTCTTTATTCGGAAGATCAATATTAGAGACAATCATGTTGACATGTTTACGAAACCTCTTCCAGTGTCCAAGTTCAAGCTTTGCCTGAACTTGATTGACATTGATTGACATTTATGAAGAATGATTTTGCCCAATGGGGCTTTTGCGGAGAAGGTGGAGAAAATTTACTATATCAACCAAAATTAGACCAAGGTGGAGATTTGTAATATGACCAATCTTTTGGCTAGTGGTGTCCATTTCATATAGGCATAAGCCTATTTGGAAGAAGAGTTGGCTAGCAATATTTTTACTTGGAGCCAAAGTATCATTGTATGGTAGAGATTGATTGATCAATTTTCTTTTTCTTTTTCTTTTTATTAGTTCTTGGAGCCCAAGTTTGGGTCCTATAAAAGAAGAGTCATCTCTCTCATTTCAAACATACTTTCAGATATAAAAGTAGAAATATTTCTACTAGCTTTTGTCTTCCTTTTCATTATAGAGTATTTTGTAAGAGAGTGAGTGTTGGGAAACACTTGCGTGAACCCTTTCTTTCGATTGATCTTTTGATGTTATTCTCTAGTGGTATTTGGGACTAATTAGAGTATTTGCTCTAATTTTGTATTCTCTTATGTACTCTTGTTGGTATAGTGAAATTGCTTCTCTCTGCTTGTGGACGTAGGTTTCCTTGACTGAACCACGTTAAATTTGTACATTTTTTAATCTGCTTTAATTACATTTATTATCAACTTGTATTGTCTTTGTTATTGTCATTATAACATTATTTGGCTAAATTCCGCATTAACCGAGTTTTCGATCCTAACATTGATGATAAGCCAGTGATTTTTGTCAATTACAAGGGTGAAGAAAGCAGTTTGACGCCGAGGAGATCTCATTTATGGTGCTCATAAAAAGAAGAAAGAAATTGCTAGTTCCTGAACCACATATCGGTTTGTTCGAGTCTCACGATTTTTCGAAGTAAGTCTCCTAAGGCCGAAACACGTCGGATTAAGGTTCAATGTCCCCTTTTATTTATTTTACTAATGTTTTGTATCGTACCTTGACATAATCAGACGCAGTAAAAAATAAAAATATTCACAAGTTGTTATTTGTATCTTGTGCAAATATTTTTTTTATTGATTCTATTCTTTTTTATGAATGCTTGTTAAAGTAGGATTCTATGTTAATTACAGCTTTGATAGAAGATATATATGTACAATTACTATGTATGTTATGAATTTATTTACAAAAGTTCCTATATCCTTTTGTTTGAGAAATATATTTAGTGGTATCTCTTTCAATATTAATGGGTTCTCCAATACATTTATGCGATATTAGTATATTTGTCAGCGCTTAGGTTCTTAAAAAAATATTTTAATGGCAACACCAATTGCCACAAAAATTTGTAGCTTTTGTTGCAACTAAGGTCGGTACAGAAGACTTCGTGGAGACTAGGTTGACACTAAAGTATTTTCTTCCGTTAATTCTTTTTTGGACCACTTTTATGAGTGTTTTGTGGCAACTACGGGCAAGAAAAACTTTCAGTTCCACGAAACAACTTTTACCACTGACCTTTATAGTTTAATGGCATGTTGGATATTGTGTTATTTGGCTATTTGATATGATATTCATGATATTTTGTGTGTTCGTTGGTTTTATTTTGATGAGCTCATTTAAAAATTGATGACTATGTCATAATTGATATAGAAAAGATAAAATGAGGGAGGGAAGGTTATGTTGTCCGTGTATAAATTTATTTGGTTGCAAGTTTTATGTTACAAATTTATTTAAAAGAAATGCTTATGGACGAAGGTGAAAACTTATGGATCAAATAGAACTTTTCATGACCTGGTAGAGTTATGTGACACATCGAAAAGAGTCTCATATGGTCCTATTATTCTGCCTCTAGATTACTAGACTTGTATTCGTATGTGCCATTGTATTATGTGTGGAGAGTATTGAGAAAGATGGGGACCGAAAATTGGCATTGCTCGTTAGCTTTGTCTAAAGTGTCAGAAGTTTCATATAGATTACTTCTCAATACAATTTATTTCAAATTCATTATCAATAATACATCTTCTATCCTAGACGGTCAAATTTTATCTTATCTTATGATTTAGTTAAGATTTCATATTGTTTAGATTTACAAAAGAATGAACGCTCCCTTGTTTCCTCCAATGGGTGCTTTATTGTGTCAAATGAATAACTTATCTTTGTCGTACCTAGTTTAAACCTTTGCAATATGATTGGTTGAAAATGTCGGACTTGATTATTACTACAAATTATTTTCTGCAACCAATTGGTTTAGAATTGTCTTTAGTTCTATTGTTTTTGTCACTGCTTATTAAAAGGTGCCCTGTTTTATGCTGGGTCGCAAAAATATGCGTACCTCATTTTAAGCTTCTTATCTGGTTATACTTGTACGAAATGAAGAATGAATTGAAAATTTTTCTCTGTGTATTTCATTCCTGTTACTGTACATGTATATATACACTTACATCTGAAGAATAAGAATGGCATGAAAAAAAAATTATGTACATTTGTTCTATTCTAATTTGCCTACTAATAACAATTTTTTTCTCCTCAACTAACTATGTTCTGTCACATGTTAGTCACGTGAGGAAAGATTCTAGTATTAAGACTATCAAATGGTCTATAATTAATCTATCATTTCCTTGATCCAAAGGTTGTGGCTCCTCCACGTGTTCCAAATAATCCACTGAATACAACCTATGTAACATAGGTTACATCGAAGATAGCCACTTTGATCTGAGAACAGATGAGATTCTTCTAGGACGTCTTCTTCTTCATTCCCTCTTCTCTATTTGTAGGCAAAACTCCATGAAAATCAGAACTAAGATGGGGTTCTTATTCCCAACATCCCCCTCAAGTTGGAGGGGAACTTTGTGACCCCTAACTTGGCCAAAATCTCACGATGAGAATCCCCAGAAAGAGGCTTTGTGAAGATGTCTGCTAGCTGAGCTTTAGTAGGGATAAAAGAAAGAGTGATTAATCCCAAAAGAAATTATTAGCGCACAAAATGACAGTCAATTTTGACATGTTTTGTGTGTTCATGAAAAACGGGGTCATGGGTGACGTGGCTTGTTGCTTGCTATCAGAGTGAGAGGAATTGGTAAAGTGACTGGTGCAGAGAGATCCTCAAGTACTCGTACTAACCACGTAAGTTCTGTAATAACCCTTCTCATAGATCTGTATTATGCAGAAGATAAAGAAATTGATACCTGCTTCTTTGGTTTCCAGTAAATAGGAGCTTCTCCCAATGTTATGAAAAAACCACTAACGGACCTCCTTGAATCCTTGCAAGACGCCTAATCAGCGTTGTAAAATGCTAGCAAGGAAAATGATGGTTCTGATGAAATGAGAATACCTTGACCCAGATTAGAGCTGAGGTATTTGAGTACTCGTAAAGCAGCAAAGAAGTGAGAAACACATGGTTTCTGCATGTATTGACTGAGGGTGAGTATAGCAAAAGAAGAATTCAATCGAGTATTAGTTAAATAATTTAACTCTCTGACCAAGTGATGAAATACAGTGGGATTTTGCAGAGGTTGTCCATTATCAGCTTGAAGCTTGGAGGAAGGATCCAAAGGGGAGCTGACTCGAGGCAAATGAGACACATCAAACTTCTTCAACATGTCTAAGGTAATTTTCATTTGACTCATAATGAATCCTGCTTTTTTTCTCAAAATTTCCATGCTTAGAAAATAATGTATATTTTTCAAATTCTTGACTTTGAACTTAGTATTCAGAAAAGTCCTTGATGCTTTTAATTTCGTCTAAGTTATCTCCTGTGAGTAGTATGTCACCAACATAGACAGCTAGGATAGAAATAAGACTGTATGTATGTTTAAAGAACAAATAATAGTCATTTAGTGATGAAGAGTATCCCTTAAAACTTAGAGCCCCTGCAAGCCTAGCATACCATTGCCTGGAAGTCTGTTTTAAATAATATAATGATTTCCTCAATAGGCAGACATGTTTCGGTCTAGGAGGTTTGGGAATCTCTTGTACACCTCTTCTTGTAGATCCCCATGCATAAATACATTGTTGACATCTAATTGAGGCACATTCTGATCTTTCTTGTATACAATAGTAAGTAGATACCTTATGGTTGTCATCTTTACCACCAGTGAGAAAGTCTCACTATAATTTATCCCTTCTCTTTGGATATTCTCCTGACCACTAACATTACCTTCAACCTTTCAATTCTGCCATCTGATAAGTGCTTTACATTGTACACCCATCTACAACGTAACGTTCTTTTTCTTTTAGGTAATTCAACCACATCCCATGTGTGGTTATCCTCTAGAGCTTTAATTTCCACATTCATAGCTTCTATCCAACCTGGATGTTGACAAGCCTGGCTAAAGGTATAAGGTTATATTAGGGTAGAAAGGGATTGCATTACATGCTGATTATTATGTGAGAGGGATGATAAACAATATTCCCTACGCTTGCAAGGTTGAGCAAAACAAGTTGTGGCTACATATGTGAACATGATACTACATACATAGTCTTTCAAGTAGATTGGTTGATTAGAAACCCTTCCTGACCTTCTCAAAGGCATAGGTTCCTAAGGTATAGAAATAGGTGAGTTGGTGTGTGGTGAATCTAGGATAGGGGAAATTGGAATTGGTCTAGGAGAGACTTGATGATGATGAGGAGTATATAAAGGGCTTGATGATGGTAGTGAGAAAACATCTGCTACTGCAGATTCTAAGGAAGTAGGTAGTAAATGTTCTTGTGATGTGGTTGAATAAGTAGGTTCTGTGGTAAAAGTTGAGGTTGGAAAAATAGGATGGTGTGATGTATTGATTTCAACAAAAGAAAAATGTGCTTCATGAAACTTTACATTCCTGGACATAAAAACTTTCCTTGTGGACAACTCCCATAGTTTGTATCCCTTCTGTTGAAGAGAGTAACCAAGCAGAACACAAGTTGTTGCCCTCTCATCAAACTTTCCTCTTCTTTGTGCTAATATAGAGGCATAACATAGGCACCCAAAGTTCCTCAAATAATCATACTTGGGTTTTTGCTTAAATAGGACCTCATATGGTGTTTTTCCATTAAGAACACTAGAAGGTAACCTATTGATAAGATGTGTGGCAGTCAAAATAGATTCACCTCAATATGACATTGGAAGCCTCGATTGAAACATTAAAACTCTAGCAATCTCTAAGATATGTCTATGTTTCCTCTCAACAATCCCATTTTGTTGAGGAGTTGCTACACAAGATAGTTGGTGCAAAATTCCTTCTGAAGCTAGTGTATACGGTCGAGATCGAATGCCTTAGATCTATATACTTGATGTAACGACCTGATCGGTCATTTTGAGCTCTAGTATGTCGTTCAGCAGTTTGAGGCTATGAGCAGCTTCACTTCAGGTATTATGACTTGTACGCGAGGTCAAAATGAATTTCAGGAAGTTCAACGTCGATTTGGAAAGAGAATTCTAAAGGGGACAAATCCCGAAATTACCAAAACCCGACCCCGAGCCCACGTCTCGAAATTCAATAATTTTTACATCAATAGATTCCTTATCTCCCCACGAGTGTATTCATATCAAAAATACTAAAATCAGAGTCCAAATCACCCCTCGAATCCTCATTTAAAAGTCTCTTAAACTCAAGCCCTAATCTCCCATTTTTAGCCCTTTAATTCCTTTAATTACAGCCTTAGTCCATGAAATACTACCATATAAATGTGTTTTAGGTCCAAAATCCTTACCTTAACGAAGTCTCCATGATTTCTCTCTTCAAAATCACCCAAAGCTCCCGAATCCATGTTTAAAAATGGTGAAAACCTTCAAAAATCGTGAAAGAAGACTTATATACATTTTGCCTAGGGACACCCGCATCTGCGGTCCGAAACTCGCTTCTACGGTACCGCATTTATAATTAAATCCTCCATTTCTGCGAAAATCACTAATCCATCCTAAACCGCCTTTGCGACCATATTTCTGCATCTGTGACATCGCAGACGCGATCTCCTTACCGTTTCTGCAGTCTCAGCTCACCTGACCAACTTTCGCTTCTGTGACTAACTTTCCGCTTATGTGGCGCCGCACCTGCGGTCCCCAATCCGTAGGTGCAAAAACACCAGAAGCAGCAAATTCAACTGCTGCAACAAAATTCCAACTTCTCCGTTAACCATCCGAAATCACCCCGAGGCCCTCGGGACCTCAACCAAAAGCACAAACATAACCCAATACCTTATTCAAACTTGTTCCAATCACCAAAATACCTCAAACAACATTAAATCACCCAAAACACCTCGGATTCAAGCCAAATTTCCTAAAATTTTCCAAATTACGCTTTCGATCGAAAACCCAACCAAACCACATCCGAATGATCTGAAATTTTGCACACACATCCCAAATCACACAACGGAACTTCTTTAACTCTCGGAATTCCATTCCTACCCCTATATCAAAATCTCGCCTACCAACCGGAAATTGCCAAAATATCAACTTCGCCAATTCAAGCCTAAATCTACTATGAACCTCCAAAATTCATTCTGATCATGCCCCTAAGTCATAAATCACCTCCCAAAGATAACCGAACCATCGGAACTCACATTCGAGCCCTCTAATATATAAGTCAATATCCGGTTGACCTTTCCGACTTAAGCTCCCTTAAAAGAGACTAAGTGTATCAACCCTTACCAAATCCTTTCCGAACTCAATCCGACCAACCCAATATCATAAAACATGGATAAACAAAGCATAAAGAAATAGAAATGGGGGAAACGGAGCGGTAACTCATGAGACGACTGGTCGGGTCGTCACATCCTCCCCTACTTAAACAAGCGTTCGTCCGCGAACGAATCAAAAAACATACCTGAAGCATCAAATAGGTGAGGATATCTGCTCCGCATCTCCCACTCGGTCTCCCAGGTAGCCTCCTCCACGGTCCGACCCCTCTACTACACTTTCACTGAAGCTATATCCTTTGACCTCAACTTTCAAACCTAACGACCCAAAATAGTTACTGGCTCCACATCATAAGTTAAATCCTCGTCCAACTGAACCGTGCTGAAATCCAAAACATAAGACGGATCCCCAATATACTTCCGGAGCATAGAAACGTAAAATACCGGATGCACACTCGACAAACTGGGTGGCAAAGCAAGCTCATAAGCCACCTCCTCAATCCTCCGAAGCACCTCAAAAGGCCCAATGAATCGAGGACTCAATTTACCTTTCTTCCCAAATCTCATAACACCCTTCATGGGCAAAACCTTCAATAGAACCTTATCACCAACTATGCAGGACACATCTCGAACCTTCCTGTCAGAATAACTCTTTTGCCTTGACTGCGTTGTACGAAGCCTCTCCTGAATCACCTTCACCTTCTCCAAAGCATCCTGCACCAAATCAGTCCCTAATAGCCTAGCCTCGCCGGGCTCGAACCAACCAACTCGAGATCTACACTGCCTCTCATACAAAGCCTCATATGGAGCCATCTAAATACTCGACTAGTAGTTGTTATAAGCAAACTCTGTAAGAGGTAGAAACTGATCCCATGACCCTCCGAAATCAATGACACAAGCATGCAACATGTCCTCCAATATTTGAATAGAGCACTCGGACTGCCCGTCCGTCTGAGGGTGAAAAGGTGTGCTCAACTCAACCTGAGTACCCAATTCTCGCTTCACAGACCTCCAAAACTGCGATGTAAACTGAGTGTCCTTATCTGAAATGATAGAAACTGAGATACCATGCAAACGAAAAATCTCCTGGATATAGATCTCTGCTAACTGATTTGAAGAATAGGTAGTACACACAAGAATGAAGTGCGTAGACTTGGTCAACAATCCACAATCACCCAAATAGCATCGAACTTTATCAAAGTCCGTGGAATTTCAACAACAAAGTCCATAGTGATCCTCTCCCACTTCCACTCCGGAATAACCATCTGCTGAATCAAGCCACCCGGTCTCTGATGCTCATATTTCACCTGCTGACAATTTAGACACCGAGCCACAAATCCCACAATATCTTTCTTCATTCTTATCCACCAATAGTGCTACCTCAAATCCTAATACATCTTTGTGGCACCCGGATGAATGGAATACCGCGAGCTATGGGCCTCCTCCGGAATCAACTCTCGAAGCCCATCCACATTGGGCACACAAATCCGACATTGCATCCTCAACACCCTATCATCACCAATGGTCACATCTCTAGCATCATCATGCTAAACTCTGTCCTTAAGTCAAGCAAATGCGGATCATCATACTGGCGCTCTCTGATGCGATCATATAAGGAAGACCGAGAAACCACACAAGCCAATACCCGACTGGGCTCCGAAATATCCAATCTCACAAACTGATTGACCAAGGACTGAACATCAACTGCAAGAGGTCTCTCCACAACTGGGATATATGCCAAACTCCCCATACTCACTGCCTTTCGGCTCAAAGCATTGGCCACAACATTGGCCTTTCCTGGATGGTACAGTATAGTGATATTATAATCCTTAAGAAACTCCAACCATCTCCACTGCCTCAAATTAAGATCCTTTTGCTTGAACAAATGTTGAAGACTGCGATGATCAGTGAACACCTCACAAGATACGCCATACAAGTAATGCCTCCAAATCTTCAATGCATGAACTATGGCAGCACTTTAAATCATGAAC